TTTCAAATAAATGGGGTTACATTCATTTACGACGTTCGTCGTAAAATGCTCGCGGCACAATCATGGATTACGAGGAATTCGCTAGCCTTCAATTAGACAAGCCTATTCCCGATGCTAGAGTACGTAATATTACGTGTACGGTATTCGTTTAAGTATAAAAAGAAAAAAAAAACAAAACGAAGTTTCCTAAATGATCAATTCACATAACCTATATATACCATTCACAGAACGAAGAGCAATTGAAAAAGCATAGTTTAGATACGAATTTGGAAAAAAGGCCCATAGACAGAGCAATTCATCTTTTGACGTAAGTGAAAGAAAATTACGTACATACGCGGCGATAACACAAGAGGATAACGTTTCACTTTCGCCAAAAGTGAAAACCGTGTCTTCCGTTTTTACGATCGTAACAGTTCTTTACAAAACCGGCATGTTTTTAGAGCCTGGTAATAATAGTCATTTTGCGCATAGTGCTTCGACAAATCACCGTGTAAAACCTTGAATTAGAACACGTAATCCCGTGTGATGACCGTATCAAGGCTGTGGCGTCGTTAATTAGTTTCGTATAGAGCTAAATAGTTGAGGCAAACATGCGAATACTTTTCGTAGCACGAGCAATATACGTTGGCGTCATTACTCGATTAATACCGATTATAGTATTGCAGAATAATTAAAGAAATAAATTAGCGCACTTCCAGAATCGTTACAAGTTCATCACTTCATGATGGCGGCTCTTGATCGCGATCGAATTAACGCTCGAAATTCGACCAACGTAATTGCGTAACAGACACCGCGAAGTATTGCTATTATAAGCGTATACTCTTTTTCAGAAATATGCAAACGACGCTCCTTAAAGCTATATGCATCATCGCGCCGGAATCACAAAATGACCACATCGATTCGTCGATTACACAACATCGACTGCTGATCAACGCGACGTTCTATTGTATTACGCGCGACACACGGCGTTACGTGTTTTCATCAGTAGCCCGTACGTAGGCTGCATTCGGCCAGTTTCGTCGCAGTTCGGTAGTGCTCGACGCCTCGTACGACAAGTCAGATATAATCGATACCTTGGAGTCAGAGCCCAGTTTAGTTGTCATCTACGTTCCGTCGTGTTGTTTTTCTTGCGTCAAGTGCGTCATAAGAGTGCGTACGCGTGTATCATCCACGTAAAACAGTTCTGTCGGTCCCCGTTGATTTCTTGTGTGATCGTTGAATAAGATGCGCGTTGAAAATGTTGCAAGAGGAAGCTCTGTACAACAGCACATCCCCTCAGTAAGTGGTTGAGATATAGAACGGTTTTTCAGTTAGAGAATCATGCCCCGTTAATCGTGGCCCGTCTTTCTATCCTCTCGGCTCTGTCCCTTTCGTACGAACCCATGCACGGGTTACTAAAAATAACGCGGCGTCGTTCAAGGAGTATACTATCCTGTTGTTTAAGCGTCGCTAATTATAGTCCTTTAAAGACAGCCACTTCGTAAGAGATGACATTCTACGAGTAACTCGTAAGCGGTTTGCTAGAAGCCTGTATAGGATAGGAAGATTTCAAGGTGTAGGTTATTCAAGAACTTGTCAGTATTATCGATTGTCTTTTTACTTTTCGTACAACAATGTTGTGATAATTGTTTCTTTACTGAAGAAACGAAGATTACGCAAATGAAATTATGATCTTGCATATAAACATCAGTGAAAACATTGTCACATGCTCCAAAAGGATATGTTATGTAAAGATTCTTGTCCCTGGAGGTTGCATACATTTAAGGAAAATAACACGAGGATGACGGGACCTTTTTTATAAATTTAATCATGATTTAAAGTTTCACGTTGAATAAATAAATTATCAGTTGATTAATATTTTAATATATAAACGATGAATGTTTCGAAATTATTGTGTTTTCAATGAGTTGTGTTTATAAATGAAATCCTTTGCTGTCATGTCCATAATTATTTCAGGAAAGGCGATGAAATTCAAAAACTCAATTTTATACAAACATTACCAAGCCTCTTAGCCACAGACTCAGAATCATGTATGACCCATGTGATACCAAAAGTGCAACAGTCATTGGCTACTGCATCCACAGAATTCCACATTGCAGCTTCATCTACATTCAAAACAATCCTAGAGCAGAAACTTGTCAACCATAATGTATTCAGTCGAACATTCCTCCAAAGTATCTTAAATTCGCTTGAAAAGCGTGATCCAGGTAAAGTAATCTTGTTTACTCATCTATTAGAGTTGCTAGCTAAACCTGTATCAACAGTTTCATGCATTTGGTATTATTCTACATAACTAAACATGTATATATACATTTAAAGTTATCTGTCATGCATGGCTGGAGACCTTACTGGATGTGATAGAGTTACTGCCGGTAGAAGTCATAAGAAAGCAGGTTTGTATAGATGATCTTAGAAATTGATATTCAGAAAACATCATTTAGAAGGGCAAATGTATTGTCATTTGTGTAGTATATATGCAACCCTATAATATAATTGTAGTTAGACCAGTAACAAAGTTGGTTTGGTTTTGTTATTCCGCATTAGACTAAGCATCAAGTACTCTGTCAAAACTCACTTGTTGCAAAGAGGTGCTATGTATTTGACATAGCTTCAATAACATAAATGTTTATTGAAAGTTAAGCATTATATAAATCTAGTATGATAGCAATATCACCTGGATCATAATAGAAATAAAATTATACAGATTCTTCCATTGACTGTAAGCAAAGGACAATTGTCACAACCTATCTACTCCAGGATAATATGCAGCAAGATATTAGGAAAGATTTGTACACGATTTGATTCTGCTCTGTGAGTATGTTTCATCTTATCAGAATTATCAGAATCTTAATAAAACTCTTGTTACTGGGGGGTACCAGCTTTTGAACAAACATTGTTGAATGAAAAGTTAAACATTCGAAAATTTAATAGTATGCACAATATATCAAGAAGACAGTTTCATTTCAATAAAGTCATTAAATAAGTATACGTGTTAAAATTGTTGTCAGGATACAGAAGGAAGTTCTACCAATGGTACACTCCCTCTGTCAGGATGTAAATAGTGAAGTACGAGCTAGTATCTGCTTGCAGCTACGTTTTGTTGCTGAAGGCCTTGGTGCTGAGTCTGTAAAATCTGCTTTGCTACCATCTCTAGTAGAATTAGCAAGTGATGAAGAAAGCAATGTAAGATGCGCGTCTGTACAAACTATAGCGTATTTGCTACCTCATCTTCAGGAAGGTATGCTTGATGACTAGTTGTGCATTATAAGCATTCCAAATTTTTCGTAGAAGAATATGTTTTGATTAATTTTTACATGTAAATGTTGGAATTATTTGAAGATCAAAATACAGTGTCTCCTAACAATTATTTACAGATACAATAAAAACTACCATAGTGCCACTTGTTAAAAAATTATGCGAAAATACACAGTCTGCGCAAGCAGACGATAACGTGATATGCGTCATTGCTCAGGAGTACGGAAAAATTGTACTTGGCCTAGAAAGTAAGAATCCTTAATTTAAAATTCATTTCCGCGTCCGCAATAAATTGATATCCGTTTGATATTTTAGAATGCCTATTACCCACGGAAAGAACATGGTTTTTAAAATATTTTCAACAACTTGCACAAATGGGTATTGTTTCCATAAGAAAAGAATCTAAACCCCATCTTCCATTTGTAAGTATATACGAATGAAGTTCATGTACAATTCGTTAGACAATTATTTACATAAATTACACCGGTTCAGATGAACAGTAATTTCGACGAAGATGAAAGATATATCGAATGCAGAAGGTGTTGCGCTTTTAATCTGCCTGCAATGTTCATCTTTGTGTCAAATTCCGCGGACGATACGGATGCTCTACTTCTTACATTTACCGCTTTAGCAAATGATCACTATTACTTGATCAGGAGAACTGTGGCATGTGGAATTCACGAAGTAGGATTTTTTTCCACTGTGGTTTACGATATGAAAGTATAACTTTGTATTAACAGTTTAATATATTTTAGGTGGCCAAGGTGTTAGGTCCGAAAAGTGGACGGATAAAACCGGATCTAGTAAAGTTGTTGAAAGATAACTCCGAAGAAGTTCTTCAAGGTTTAGTTCCTCATATAGGATTAACACTTGATTGTTTAGCCGAAAGTCAAATTATTGGTGTAGATAGAATGGTTTGTATCCTCCTTTTCTTTCTTATTACATATTTACACGACACGACCAGTTTATTTACATAACGTCGTTCATCAAATGCAGGATTCCACTGTTATGGAAATAGGTAGGGCATTATTGAAATGCGAGTCGGAAATAGCAGGAACACACAATTGGAGATTAACATCGTTGATGCATTCACAGCTTGAAATATTGCCTAAATATTTTCCAAGTGACTTTATATATACGTATTTCGTGCCAATGGCTTTTTTCAGAGTATTACATGCTGTAAGTTGTAAAAATAGTTGTGTTTTGTATACTAAAATATACGAGATAAACAAGTTCCTATGATCCTCTCCATTTTCAGAGACCAATACCTGTACGTCTCGCGGCAGGAACACTATATCTTTTTCTTTTACGTTACAACATGAAACCTATGCAAAGAGTAGAACTTCGTAGCAAGTTATATTCAGAATTGGCTAATAGTCCGAATTGTTACGTGAGAATGATGTTCGTTCGGATAATGATAGAGGCCTTGGAAATTTTCTCTTCGGTGTATTTCAAGGAGCATTTTTACTCTACGTTATTGAACTTGGCAGAAGATCCTGTAGCTAATATAAGAATGAAAGTAGTTTCTCTGTTGCCTCAGTTGAAGTGTCAGCTGCGGATACCGGCTGATAAAAAATTGTTAACTGAGCTAGAAGCGACTATAGCACATTTAATAAACAGTGAAAAAGACAGGGATGTGCTTGCTGTGTTGGCTAATGTTATAAAAAAATTGGACGACATAGAACTTAAATACGAAGGTCGAACTGTAAGTAACACGAAGTAAAAGCCAATTAGGCAACGTTAATTATTTTTGCTCTAAAATATTTCATTACAGCCATCTGGAGTACTTTCGAAACATGACATCGAGGATACTAGAAA